GGGGGGGGGGGGGGCTCACAGTTTGGGGGCTCCATTTCCCCCCTCCACCCTAGCTACTGCTGACAGTCACCAGCTAGTAGAAGGGCAGGGCTGGAGGGCTGCTCCAGCAGCCTCCTGGGGGCACCCCCAATCTGCTGGCCTTGGCCAGTGCAGGCAGGCATGCCTGCTCAGTTGGAATGTGCTCTAACTTACAGAACTTTAAGTGGAATAGTTAAAGCACTTTCCATCGGGGGCTTTTTAAATGTCAGTTCTTAGCCATAGTTTTTAGAGATGCAATGAGGCTACAGGTTGAGGTAGTTTCCAAATTTGGCTCCATGCACTCTCTTAACATTAAAGCTTCCTAATATTGCTAACATTTTCAACATAATCATCCAGACATGTTAATATGATTACTGTTACTGTGATTACTGATAAGCAGTAATTAGATATGAAATATTATTAACCCTATTATATGCATTATCTAAAAGAATGAGCGCCCCCTTTGGGCTGAATGCTGTATAAACACAAATAAGAGACAAAGATCCTTTAAGAGGCAGAAAAATAATTGCGAGCGGGGAGCTGGGAATGTTGTGTTCAAGGAATCTGGTGAAGAATGAACACAGCTTTATTTATTACCTGTTATGTTTGTTTTTTTAAGTAATTAGTATTCAAAACTGAAAACTAGCAAATTATGACTGCAGTTGCTTATCTCAGTTCAAAAGAGGATACAAGTCAGATTAAGCATCCTCCCTCTTATGCATCTCCTCTGCAGTTGCAAGAGGCCCAAATGACTTTCATTATACTTCACTTTCAATGGAATATTGTGATCAAGAAAGATGTGTACCAAATGCACTGAAAACTTACGCTTTCCCACCTCTTTTTCCAAGTTTGTTTAATTCTGAACAGAACCCTACCTTCCTGGACAGTAATTCCTATAGATGTTTATTCTTAAACTTTCATGTATTTAAAAAAAGAGAAAAGGAAAAAAGAGACTAAGAGAAAAATATCTTATTTCCTTTAAACGTATAACATTTCAGACAACCATTGTCGAGCTGACCTATTTTGATTCTCTAATTGGCCAGCTCAAATGATTTTTTGGCACAGTTAATAACCTGTAGTATTACTGTCTGACTAAAGTAATTCAGCAATGTTGGATCAACATTTGGGAAAAAATAGTGTATACTGCTTTGTCCGAAAGGTTTCCAAAAATAAACTGTAAGCTTTCAGAGAATGTTTTCCTTTTGATGCATTGTTTTTCATTAGAACCAGAACACCAAAAAGAAGTTTAGGGCTGCTGTCCTTAGCCCCATGAACTACACTGGTGGGGGAGCAACCTTTCTGGCAGGTGAGACACAAATTAGTAGGGCTGTGCGAAGCTTCAGTCTCTGATTCGATTCAGCAGAGGTTCAATGGCCAAATCTCCAAATTGAATCAGGAGATCCTTTAGTCTCTCTGAATGGAATCAAAACCCTCCAAACTGATTCAGAGAGATTCGGAAAGATTTGGCGATTCAGACAGACACAGCTTTAAATGTTTTTTCTATACATCTCAAGGTACCAGGAGGCTTGTGAATGCTGAGACGTTGGGGCGGATGGAGCGACCCACAGGAGCACAGGGAGGGGGCGGAGGGGGTCCCCAGCGCGCTCAGCAGCAGACCCGGAATTGGACTAGAAGCATTTCCAGTCCACTTCCGAGTCCACTTGGGAGTGCACCCGGCTCAGCGACCGGTGCCTCCTGGCCAATTGCTGAGCTGGGGGGAAACAAGGGCAAGCACGCTCCCTGGTGGACCCAGAAGTGGAATGGAAGTACAGGAGGCCCCCTGCACTCCTGTGGGACACTCCATCTGCCCCAGCATCGCAGTGTTCACGAGCCACGCCTGGTACCTCGAGGTATGTAGGAAAAACACTTAAAGCTACGTCCATGGCCAAGTCACTGATTCTCCAAATTAGCATCAAATCTTCAGATTTGGATTTGGCTGAATCAAATCAGGGACAGTGATCCAAATCAACAAATTGAATCACTGTCCCCGATCTGGGCTGAACCTGATTTATATACGGCCCATTTTGCACACCCCTACAAATTAGCCCCGTACTCTCCCTGAGTGTCACTCTAATCCCTTTCCTGGCTTGATCTCCTACTCTGCTTTTTTTACTTCCTGAAGCTGCTGCTCTTCCTTCTGCCCCATCTGGCACTGTACTGCCTGGGCCCTCACCAAACTTCTGGGTGCCTCACAAAGGTTGCTCATGCCATTTGTTGCCCCCAATGTCATAGGTTGGCCACCCCTGGATTATGCTCTGCCAAGACAGGTTCAAGGAATTATTCATTCTCATTGCTAAAATTCCATTAAAATTTTATGGGGAACCCTTCCCAAAAATATAACCCCTAAATCACAAGTCAATAAAAAGAATTCATTGAATTAAAGAGACATTTACTTTTTTACCTTTAGACACTGATTGCTGAAAAAAATATTTTGGGAAAGTACAGGCTGGCTTTAGAGAAAGCTATTCCTGCATGGATCATTGCTTGGCATTGTACTGTTTGGCCTCTACATATGTTAAACGAGAAAATCGGTTGTAAATAGCCTTCATAGATCTCAGCGGAGACTTTGACTCCATAGACACATTAAAATTATGGAAGAAACTGGCAACAACAGCAAAAGAAAAAGCTTTCTTATAATTAAATCATCATTTACTATTCAAACACAGCATCGAGGGTACATTATCAGATTGGCGGTGCCTTATTCAACAGTTTCCCAATTAAGACAGGTACGACAAGGATATCTGCTTTTCAACTTATTCTTGAATGATTTAAAAAAGATTTTAACAGGGAATCAATTTCATACACCCATGATTTTGAATGACCATATTTTTCTCTTGCTTTATGCAGATGGTGCATCAATTCTGTCACAATCCCAAATAGGACCCTAAAGATTATTCAACAGTACTGCAACTCAAATAGCTTAGAAATCAAGGCTACTTACAGACATAAAAAACCCTGACGCTTTGCTTTAAACTCATTGTGCCCCTGCACTGAGCCCAGCATATGCCCAGAAGAGGCATTGTGTTAGATGGACCCAGCTTGCCCAACATCTGTATCAATCAGGTCCTTTAGTGAGGCTTTTTTGAAAAAGCACTTTTATCTAACAGCTGACTGAATCAGCTGTTAGATAAAAGTGTAAATAGGATAAAAAGCAGTTCTCGTTCTTCTGGATGAGACCTCTCTGCATCATTCAAATGCTCCCAATCACAACATATAGCTATCTTGCCTAAAGAAGTTCACAAAGATCCAGAGAAATGTGTTAAAATTAAGGAACCCCCCTGCAAGAAAGATAGTGGACAATGAATACTGATGGGGAACTCTCGACCTTTGGACCTCCCACAAGGATCAATTTTCTTAGGTCCCATGCAAAATCTATGCACAGCCAATTGGTTGAACTAGTTAAATAACATGGGCTGAAGTATCAATAATATACAGATGAAGCACAACTCTACATTTTGCTATGTATGACCATGCAACTACCACCAGAAAGATCTTGTGCTGGCATAAACTCAGCCATTAGATGAATATCAGATGACTGAAGGTTTGA